TCCGTGTCTTGCGGAGGAGTGGCAGGATTAGGGACACGGCGAGGCGGGTCAGGTGGAGCAGGAGGTCGTCGTTGTGGGGCTGGCCTCCAGTTTCGCGAGAAAACGGTGAGAGGTGGCGGTTGTCCAGTCGCCTCGGAGTCGCGATGCCCACTTGCAGTCCGTGCTTCCCTTAGCTCTTTGAGACGACGCCGTGTCTGCTTGTCTGGCCTTCTAGCTTCTCTCTCATAATCGCGCTGTGTTTTGATGCGCCGCCCCCTGCCGGTGGGGGGATCCTCAGGCGGATCCGCGGACGGATCCATCTCCATTTGCTGCTCTGGGAATCTAGCTTCTCTGGGCAGCTTGAGAGGCCAGGCCGCAGGTTGGAGGTAAAGGCTTCGATCACACTGTGAATAGGCTGGCTGTGACCCTATTGCAGTCCTGTCCGACTTATCAAACTTGTGGGCACAGGACAGTCCTGGCTGGGTCTGGCCGTTCCACTGCGGCTGCTCCAGCCGGGTGCTCCGGCTGGCCAGGCGAGTAGGGACCTCACGCCAGTGGAGGCAGAGGGGAGGGGCCGGAGGGAAACCTCCTAGCCACTGACAGCACAACGGAGGGGAACCTCCTCTATTGGTCATTGCAGGCAATGCGATTGTGGGAGCCCATGAGACAGTGTGGCAAGACAGGCGAAGGAAACTGAGGTGAGGGCCATGTTGTAACAATCGGGTGTCCTGCCTGAGCCGGGGGTGCAGCGAGAGGTTGCTGATCCAGGGTCCTGTGTAGCCTGGGCTCCTGGTTTTGCTAGCAGTTACACCTGTCACATGGTGGCCTACGAGCAGTAACAGGCATGGCTGGGGCTCAGGGCTACTTCGTGCAGCTTGTGATGTGGATTTCTTTGAGGTCCCGACGAGGGTCAAGTCCACAGTCCAAGGTAGGCTCGTTGAGGTCGCGGCTGTGGTCAGTTCGCGTTCCAACAACCCAACGCTCTGCAAGGGTTCCAGTCTGTTCACACTTGTAACACTGCGACAAAGGAGACTGCATAAATGCTGACCAATTGCCCTACTGAGGCAGAGGCTGGGATGAATCTCAAGAGCAGCTCGCACTTGGCGAAATCCTTTCTGCATGGGAGTCAGACCTGAGGTTTTGTTATAAATCTCGCACCGGAGTTGCAGGAGGTCAGTCCATCGATTCGAGGTCTGCTGCACGGCAGATTCTGGAAGCATATGCGGCATCCAGAACACTAGTGGCGAAGGTTGCATCCAGTGCATAGGTGTTAGCCAGAAAATCCACTCGCTGTTGCGGGGAGAGCCATGTCCATGTCTCCTGCCAGATACAAAAGGAAGAGGTACGTAGCCACGAGCTGCCATAGAGGTTGTGTATGCTGATCCTAGAGCTGATGGGCAAAGGTCGTAGGGCCAAGAGGAGATATTCCATGGCCAACTGCCGCAAATGGAACTCTCTCGATGACTCCCAGCGCCACCATGTGGCCAACAATGGTATCTTGTTTGCACCGTGAGGAGGGCAAAGTACCATATCCATGACATACCCACAGCCCTGAAGCCCAGAAGTCCGAGGAGCATAGGAGGGGAGGGGGAAGGGATAGCCCTATGCGGCAATGAATAGAGGGGTGAGAGACGAAAACCACCCCCGGGCGTGTGATGACGAGCCGAGACGCTTCGTAGTAGTAGTAGTAGTAGTAGTAGTAGTAGTAGTAGTAGTAGCAGTAGTAGTATCAGTATCAGTATTTGTATTGCTGATTGTAGTATCAGTATTTGATTTGTGCGACTGCTATCATTGTTCGTACTGCTAGTACTGATCTTCGTTTGAGACTAGTCTTACTGTCGCTAGTTATCGGTATCAGTATCATTAATATTACTTCTGATGCTAGTGTTGCGACGCATATTGCTGCATTGCTGGTAATTCATATAACTGCGGATGCCACTACTTATTACTATTACTATGACCACGATTTGTACGTATTGCGACCATTAGTATTAATTGCTACTGATATTCTCATTAACATCGAAATTGCAGTTGCCACATTTATTCCTGTCATTGCCACGCTATTAGAACTGCTACTGATTACTGCACACAACTACGTATTGCTACTACTACTACTACTACTACTACTACTACTACTACTACTACTACTCCTGGTTCTGCTACTACTCCCAGCACTAGTACTACTACTACTACTACTACTACCACTACTACTACTCCTCCTTTTGCTGCTGCTACTACTACTACTGCTACTACTATTGCTGCTACTACCACTACTACTCTTACTCTATCGCCACTGTTGTGCTACTTGCCATAGTGCCACTGTTCCTACTATTGCTACTGCCGTAACCATTCCCATCGCCGTGGCTTTTATTGTAATGACTAAGACTAATTTGACTACGATCACTGTCAGTATTACTAGTACTACTTCTACGAACACAGTTTTAGTAGCACCATCGCTGTCATCAATCATTACAATCGGTGATTGGCACGCTGTGAGCATGCTTCCTCTGCTACAATGCCGATTTGCAGCCGCTCCTATTTTTGCTGTCGCTCTTGCTCTTGATTACGATTTTGAAGCCACGACTGCTGCTAACATGGCACGCTATTACAAGCACCAAGTCTGCTGCCGTGCTGCTGACACGCGTTACTTGCCATTTGTGTCGTTAAACTACGAAAGCACTCATTGCTGCTTCTTGGCTACTTACTCACCACAGCTAATCCTAAGGATGCTATTTGTCGTCACTGCTGTTGCTGTCGTGTTGTCGCTACTGCTGAATATATCGCATCTACTACTTCTGCTCCTGTCACTAGTGTTGATGCGGTTATAACCTTCACCGCCGTCCGACTGACATACTGCATGTTACCGCCCAGACGATTAAGACGATGAGCAGGATGAGGAATTCATAAGGGGCTTAGACTGTTTAGACTCCGAGCCCCCCACTCCATCCCGAACGGTCGCGACCTGCAACGCACTCCGCTACAAAGGACTTGCATGGATTTGCAAAGCGTGGTACGGCGCTCCAACTTCCTCTGCATTCTGAAGTCTGAAGTCACGAACTTCAGCACGACCGGGCCTGTCTTTGAAAGCGTTAGCAGAGCAGAGCTGCACCTGACATTCTGTCAAGGTGTCAGCGCAGCTGCTTGGGATTCTGTCAGCAGTATTCAGGCCTCCCGTGTCGCCACCGGACCTGCTTTGCCTTGGCTGGGCATTACGAGTTGCGTAGACGAAAGCGTGCGTGAAACGGATGCTTTGGCTTAAGGAGTTGTGCCAGTACTCAGTACTGAGTTCAAAGCTTTTCTTGTCTTTCTTATCCTTCTTCTGCTTTTTGTCCTTCGGCTCTGCCTGTCATTGAGGGCCGGACATTCAAGGTCAGCACTGCCGTGCCATGCGACAGTTGTTGCGCCTCTGGTGGGAAAGCCTGTGGACCAACTACCCGCTTGGGCTCTGCCGGAGCAGGCGGAGCCTGTGCCTGGGTTTGGAGGCTTGTTCGAGCAGCTCAAAACTTGGATTTTCCAGGATCCCTGCTGGTCTAAGTTCCTCCGACTCCAACTTCTTGTGCTTCTCCTCGAAAGGCTTCAGGGTTCTCAAGGCATCTTATCTTTGCAATCCACACGCGGCATCAGCACGTTGAGGGCTTGGAATCTCACTGCTGTGAGTGAATGACAGCCTTGCGGACACCAAACCGGACTCAGCCACACGGCGTTCAGGCGATCCTTTGCTGGATCTTTCTCTTTCTCCGCCTTCTTTTCTTCCTGTGCCGGACGTCAGATCGGTACTGCTGCCGACCTCAACATAAAGGGTACGGGTCCCCTGCCTTTCGTCTTGCCTTCTCCTCATGGAATACTGTTCTTGGCATGTCTTGGGAATCTGTCAGTGCAGTGGTTGATAACATGCGAACGCAGGAGAAGTCCTCATCATCATCCCCATGCTTGTGCTTCTCCTTCTTATCCTTCTTGTCTTTGTCTTTTTTCTCTTTGCTGTCGTTCTTTACCTTGCTGTCTGCACCATCCTGCAGACAGAAAAGAACAAACACGAGGCAAAGCAACCGGTGAATGCGATAGTGCACCAGTCGCAAGTTGCTGCAGTTGTCCTTGTCTTTCTTTTCCTTCTTGTGCTTCTTTTTGGGCAGAGGATCATCCTGAAAACAGGCTGTAACCTTTGGGCTGCCTGCAAAACAGCTCCAGACCACAGGAAGCCTGTCTGACGCTCAAACATGCTAAAACCAAGTCATTACAAAGTCGTAGCGTGACAGAACAGGAGAGAAGCCCCACGAGGTCCGGCAGCAATGCCAGTTATAGAGTCACGTCACATCATGTCACCATGTCAGATGCATGACGACCACTACTTTCCATTTGCCATGGCGAGGAAAAAGCGATGCTGGACAATACCTCGGCGAAGGCTTTAAATGAGAATAAAAGTGCTGAAAGTGCGCGGAGGGTTGCAGCCCTCTACTCCCCCCTCTATCCGCTCAGAGTGGCGTGTCTCGGTACACCCGTTAAGTCCACACACAGCGCTGCAGCACGCTTCCACAGCATCGTTCCTTGCTACCAAAGCCGGTCTGCAGAGTCAAACAAGAAGTCAAGACGCCGATCAAGAAAGACACCTCTTCTACCGCCGGTCTTCCAAGGTGTCCACAAAGAGTCTGCAGCTGGCCTCGCTCGAGTCATCTCCTTTCCTCTTGCCCATGGCGCTATTCCAGGCTCAAGTTGTCAAGGTGCGGCTAGGCTTGCAGCTTGATGCGTGTTTGCAGGTGGGGGGGTCGGGGGGGGGCGGGGAGTGGAGGGGCGGGCACATTGTTTCTCGATGTTTCTCGTAGCCGTGATGCAATGTGTCACCTGCACAAACGACTTGATTCAGGACCGAAGATCTTGCTGCAACATTCGAGGGGTTCAGGAGTTGACTGAAATATGTTTGCAAATCCTTGACAGGTGTATTTGCAGCTAGTCGGCTGGCCGACGCTGAGCAGCTGTGACATTTTCAGATCAAGGCGAACAAGTTCACTTCATGTCAGATGAGCCTCTTACAACAGTGTAACAGGCACCCTTGCTCTCCGAAGCTCGGCTTGCCTGACAACTCCGGTGTTGTGCACAAACCTGGCTGGAAGTGCAGGGGCAGTCCGGTGAAGTAGGAGCGCAGCTTGAATGCCAGGGAACGTGTCTTCCACTTCACGCCGCAGCTTTGGGCTTCCACCCCAGATCAGCGAGTACCTGCCCCGTCTCTGGCTCGCCATGCTTTCGCGGATACGGACTTCCAAGATGCGCACCAACGGCCGTAGAAGATGTGGCCTTGGCACCAGGGACAATGAGCTTGAGGGGCAAAGAAGTAGTCAGGCTCGCACCAACACCCTTCTTGTAGAGTGGCCGAGCAGTATGTCGCCAGCCGAGGTCTAAGATCCTGGAAGCAAGACAAGGACGAGGCCGTGCAGTGCCATGCAGCTTCGGGAAAGACAGGGGGAGCCTGAAGAGAGCTCCGTCGCGTTCCACGATGACTCGCGAAGCTTCCCTGGAGATCCGGGCTCTCTGACCCACTCTTTGAAGCCCGAGCTCTGAAGAGAAGGAAACAGGGTGGCCAAGCCCAAGCCAATCCAAGCCACTTCATCAGGAGTTTCGTCTCCTTCGCAGCACACCTTCCGTGCACCTCCCAGCTGGCATGGAGTGGCACCGAATCTGGCACAGGACCCACATCAGGCTGCCCGGCCAGCACCAGCGTCTCAAAGAACACCATGTCAGAATGCGAGTGTCAGTGCATCGAAGGCTTTCTCAGGGCAAAGGGGTCGAGGTTGCGGCTACGGCTAGTGCGGTTGGGGTGTAGCTGGAAGGCGGACAACATGGTTTTGAGGACTGCGAGAATCCTGCAGTTCACGTTCCACATGTCCGACTTGAGTACAAACCGGCAGCATAACGATGTGACCTGACCATGGGAGCCTTATCCTCCGAATTCTGTGGGTTGTCACGACTCTCGGAACTCTGCAAGAGGTGTGGCGTCGTCGACATGACCCATCCCATGGCTCAGCTGCATGAGTGAACGCGTCCTTTCACCGACATTGACAACTGCGGGTAGAGATGCTAAACTTGCGCCTGACATCGTCAAGCTGGTCTCTTATCTGCGGGAGGTTGACCCCGGATCGATGGAGATCTGGAGGATCGGTCCAACATTTCGCCCTCCTGCTTGGCTGACAAGGAGCCAGGGCTTGGAATGCATTTGCATTGAATTAGGAAGTAATGCACGTGGGACCTGCAGAGATCAGGACAGACTGCGGCTGCGTTGTAAAGTAACTGCACTCGGCCCGAGCCAGGATGAGTATGATAGACATAGTCCTGATCTCTGCTCCTACAGAGGTTTCTGCGTATGAATTGCGCCGTGCAAGGCAAGGCAAAAGCTTCATGCAACTTCACGGAAAACGTGCTCTGGATAGAGTGGCATCGTAGCTGCTGTCGCAAACACATCTGGTCTTTGAAGCAGACATACTTCCGATGCCAGAACAGTTCGTGTGCTGAAGGCAACCGCTGGTTTGCTAAAGGCACGTGTTGTGCTTTTGCCTAGCACACGTCGTCTGTCATCTGATGCCTCATGGACATGCTTCTACACAGTGGTCCCATGCAGTGTAATCCGTTTGAAGTGGCTCAGACCGCATAAAAACTGTTGAGAGATCTCTCGCTCATGGTGGCCTGAAGGGACTCTTGGAGAAAAGGCACAAACTGTCTGAGAAGCCCATAACACTCTCCCACGGCTCCAGGCTCAGTGACGCTGTGTGCCGCACCCAGTCCGGAGGTCGCTCTGAAGAATGCAAGGAGCCAGAGCGGCTCGCGACAGACGGCCCCCTGACGCTCGATGCCTCAGCTCTGAGCCTCTCTTCGAGTCCTTTTGTTTTTTTGTTATGTATACCGGCGACGACCCCAAACAGTACATGGTTGAACCAACGTGGATGTGTGAGGGCTGGCTCTCATAAGACTTCGGCGGGGACTTTTTCAAATCGCGCGCTAAGCTTTCCACCCGCGAGGTTTCGGTGTCCTTCTCCTGTCGAGCCTCCAAGGCCAGTCATTCTGCCAACTTTCTGCGCAACTTCAGAGCACGCCTCGGCATCCTCCGAGACCGGATCCTGAGGATCGCCACCCTGCGCTCTGCGGGCTGCAAGCACGAGCCACACGTTAGCAGCTGCGTAGAATGATGTGGCAAGCAAACTTGGAATCAAGGAGTTGCAGCACAGGAAGACTGACTACCAGACTAGCAATTGGGACGGTGGACGGTGCAGTATTGGCAAGATTCCAGGGCCCGTGAATCCTCTTGCAAGAAGACGCCACCGCATAAAGTGACTGCTTAACAGCCTCCGCGTCGTTCTGGGGTGAGGTTGCAGTAGTCGGCGAGGGCGATGGCTCCCAAACGGTCTCGAGCGGATGTTGACTCTGGACGGTACGGTGCGCCGGTGCGGGGAAGATCTGACGGAGCCGGATGCCTCGGCCTGTGGGCTGTCCAGGTCCATAGGAACCCAGTGCGCCTGGAGAGTCAGAAACATCCATCCTTTCATGAATCCAACGCCTCAAGAAGAGTCTCCGGCATGCGGCAGTGGCAAGGGCAAGGAGCTCGTTGAGGGAGTTGGCAATGTGGTCTGCGCGTGAGTGCGTGAATGCATCAATCGAGCGAGCTGAAGGCCCTGGATCCACCCGAGCCTCCACACCGCAGGGCGACAAAGAGGGATGAACGACCTGTCATTCTCCCTCGTGCATGTCGGATTAGGCGATTCGCAGCCGACCCGCTCTACTAGTCTACCGACCTGCGATATCTTCACGAGGAGCTTGGACTGCAGGAGGTGAACCCAGCAATGCAATGCCTGGCATCGGCTGTAACTCATGTGAGCTCAAACCACCTCCTGATGCCCTACTGTAGCTGGAACTCTGGTTAGCGACGACGAGGGCAAATTCTCACACATCCGAGGTCGAATCCGTCCGTGAACCCCGTAGGCCGTAGGCTCGGCCAGGCGCGGCAACATGAGATGGTAAGGTTAGAGGCACGCTGTTCAGCTGACTCTCTGCTAGCCCGGTTCCGGAAAGCCTGTTTGGTTTTGAACATGAGGTCAATCTGCCGCGGATTGCACTTGGCGTGGAAAGTGCAGCGGACCTTGCAATGGCAACCCGAACATGTAGCCAGTGTGTTGGTAAGCCGCGGCTTCATGTGGCTGCTCTCACCTTCACCGAGACATTCAACAAGCCTCGCACCACCTCGTCAGTATAGTAGCTCTTCAGGGCCTGTGCAGCCATGTGTCGTTCAGCACATGGTTGTCACGTACCCATCAAGTCCTTCCAGCTCGGAATCCGCAAGATTCACACAGACACTATAACGGCACAGTACAGTATTATCACGTAACAAAGTAGCCAGTCAACATGCCTCAACCCACACGACTTCATGCTCGCCAACAAAGAACAGTGCCAGCTCCCAATTCAAACACACTAGCCCGATCGCAGAAATGAATGAAATGGTCGACGATTCCGATAAATCTATTGAAGCAAATGGAATCTTGTTCTGTGGATCTCTTCAGATTTCGTTCGTTCGGCACCGCCTGCGCTGGGCGCTCAGCTGCAACTTCCGGGCTGCTGTCACCAGCCTGCACAGACCCAATGTGCTGCCAAATTCTCAGCAGGAATGCCCGACCGAGGAGAAGGTTGCTACATGCTGAGGGTCGTAGAGTTCCGCATCGTGCCAGGCAGGCAGGCAGCCCTGCATTCCTGCCCGCGTAGGTGCCTCCGGTAGGACGGGCTGAACATAGTGATAGATGCTCACGTCCTTGGCTTCTTGGCTCAGAGTAGGGTCGCGATATGCATGCTAGCATTCCATCCCACATTTTTTGTTGAACCGACATGCCGTCAGTGTGAGAGCAACAGGCCAGGGTACCTCCCAAGCATAATGGAAGTTGTGCTTCTCTCGGCTGATCCTCCTGTCCAACCTCTGAACCACAGTGATGCTCATGAACGGCGCTGCTCACACCCGTTGTTGCACATCAGGGAATCAGTCCCGGGCAAGCTAAAATTATCGCCGCCCTTGTGCACGCACACGAAGTACCTTCGATGCATTTCCGACTTGTGCAACGCGCGCTCGCGATTCGCACGAGCACAGCAACTGCTACGACGAATAACCGTTTGCAGGCCGAGCAGCTCGGAGAATCTGTTGCCGACTTCGCCAACCCGGAGCATGAGGGGCAGCCCGTGCTCAACAAGATTCCTGCTCTCAGCAGTCTGTATGCACTGCTAGTGTACAACCTGACTGTGAAGACTTCCGGGGCCATCGTCCTGTTCATGGAGAATGACTCGACCTGGTGTACTGAAGAACTGGCTTCGGTCAGATCTTAGAGACTCCCTAACCAGCTCTGCCTGGTGCCTTTGCCTGTGCAATGCGTGTTTTGGAAGCCTCCAGGCACTTGGAGTCCAAGGTGTCGCCGATGCTCACACTCTCAGCCTGGCCACGCCCAAAAAGGCGCCGCCCGCAGGCCACAGGCGCTTGGCAGAAGAGTGGGAAATCCCCGGCCCCGGCCGACCTGTCTGGTCCAGTCGGGCACCGAGTCGAACCAGGAATCCTGTCACAGCTCAGGACCAGGACCCATGAGAAAAGAGGTCGAAGTAACAGAAGCAGGGCGTACGGTGGCTTGGGTCGGCTGCTGGGTCACGCAATTGTCGAGAGTTGACCCAAGCGTGTCGTCACAAGTTGAGGCACCTAAAGTCAAGACTTTTTGAGCTTCGGTCCAAGCCCAAGCGCCCCGAGCGTCGCACTCATGCCCGCAGCACATCGCACGCACTGCCTGCCGGATCACTGCTAGGACTCCGCACCATGCGAGGACTGTAGCTTGCTGAGCTTCGCTCCCATCTTCGGTGAGGCAGATCTCCTTGAGCTTCCTCCGTGATGTGTGTCTGGGTGTGTGCAGGCTAGGAAACACTAGTAGAGTTTTCTTTAGTCACAGACGCCTGAAGTGAAATCTGACAGGGTCGCACACTTTCGCTGCCGTCAATAGCGGGCTCGGCTTCAGCTTCAGCTTCACTCTCGCTTCAGCTGAGGCGGCCATTCCCAGCCCACACGCTGGCAGGCGTGAGTAGGGCACTAAAAGCAAAGGAGGGCTCGGCACCCTGATTCGCGTGCACTTGCATCTGCACAGTGGATCGATCAATTCCTCTCCTGTGGAGTTTCAATTCGACTGCAAGCGGCGCACAATACGTGCACCCTGCGAAAGATGAGACATTCAGCAGCTGCCATGACGGTCCGTGGTCGGGAGTGGGCTATGCTCTCCTTGGTCCTTCTTTGCTGACAGGTCTCGTCAGTTCGAAATTCGAGCCGGTGCACCGGCTGACAAGCACGAAGCCCACGATTTGGCTCACGAGTGTGGCCTCAGATCACGGCACTGCAAAGACAACCTCTAGCTCAAGATTAGTAGATGAGTGACCAAAGCGAACAGCCTAACACTGATGTGCTTGTTGACTGTCATCTCTGCATAGGCAGCCCACCTGCAAGGTATGAGGAATTCCTCATCCATGCGGCTGTCAAACCGAACCTGACGACACCGGACCCTCCCCCAGCCAGCTCTGACGAGAAAATTGCTATTAAAGTCTTGAGGCTTCTTGTTCATGGCCCCATGGAATAATTTCTTCTAGCCGCATAAACTGACCCGAACGTCCACTCTGCACAACTGCAGAGTTGCTGCATTCAGTAGTACCCGCAATGTATTTGACTTTCTGTTTTCGCGGGCATTCGGACTGCAAGTGACACCACAGCAGAAGAGTTAATTCACTTTAGACTTCAGCCGTTAAGTCATAACTTTAGTATTAAGCGGGCTTGCTATCTGGGGTCATTTTCGCTTTTGGGTTGCGCATCTTGTGCGAACGAAGGTAGTGAAGGGCAGTTCTGGGCGGAAGAAGCCCTGTGGCTCAGAACAAACAGGTCGCCTTCGGAGCATCCGCACGCGTCCTGTGGGCATGGGGACTTGCTGGGACTTCGACACAGTGCCCCTTGCCCTGTCTCTCTGCTGTCCCACAGCCACAGCTTCCTGTGTATCCAGCCTACACACAAGGATACGAAGAACAGCAAGAAGCCCAGCCTCGCCGGGTCATCGGCTTTCGCTGGAGACAGCCGTGGCAAGGTTGGAAGCGAAGACGTGCGGCTACCTGAGCCGCGGTTTGTCCAATAACACCATGCTCACTGACAACCCCCGGAGAGGCTGGAGAGAATCCCTGATGACACGTGTGACGACATACTGACAACACCAAGTTGCCAAGGGTGTGCGGCCCCTTCAACAAACTGCCAACTCTGCGAGGGAAGCCGGGCAGCTGCTGCAGGTGATCAGAGCCCCTGTGAAGTGATGTGCTGCAGTCTCCCAAACCAAGGCAAACACACGGATGCGAGCGGCTGCCTCGTCTCAGGAATACGTGCTCCTGCAAGCCGCATCTTGGCCGATGGCACCTCCGACACATTTGTACATACACAGCCTGGGTAAGCTCTGATGGCACCCCCATCTGCCTTTGGCAGGCTTTGGGGCCACTCACACAGCTCCCAGCGCAGGTTGTCCTGGAAGCGGCCCATGATCACTGTTCAACAGTTTGGTAATATCCACACAGCCTCTGCTACCAGCGGCGACAGGCCCGCCGCCATGCGTCTGCCGAAGCTACCCAGGGCCATGCCATTTCCTGAAGAGTGGTAGCCTCCATGACAGGGGCAAACACAAATCTGCTGTGGTTCCACTGCTGGCGAGGCCTTCCAGCACAGGTGACAGCCTGCTCTCCTGTGGGACAGATCGCATATGGCACAGCATTGCTGAAAATAGATGAAATACCGGAAACGGGTCAAGAAAACCACAAACCCCAAACGAGCCCCTGTGAAAAACGGATTCCTGTCTCAGCCTCTGAGGGCACCTGGTACGTGGAGCTACTTTACCATCCAATTGTGATGCACAATAGGTCATTACAAAGATAAGCGCATAATTCGTTTGTACGACTAGAATACTAGAACAATTCATAGGCTAGCCGCTGTAAGAAATATAATTTTGACCGTAAACCGAAAAGTCAACACTGCAGTAAGCAGTTCGGGAAATGACTCAGCTCCATGCAAACGACTCCTTGGCGGTGGCATTCAACGGCGCATGGCTTGGCATGGCTGGTGCAGATCTAGACGGACTTCGAAGAGTAGGTGACGAAGGAGACTGGAACTCTCAGGCCCTTCATGAAACTCTACGTGGCAATTAGGAGCAACTGCCATGCCGGCATCTTAAAGGTGCAACAGTTGCCCAGCAAAAATGGGCCCGAGATTCGAGAGCTGTAAAGCGGGCAACGACGTGAGCCTGCACACTCCACGAATGCAGATGCTGCATGAGACAGGCATCTGCAAGGCCTTCGCATCTCGCAGTTGCTGGCCTCACCTGGCATGGCTGAAGGTCTGGCTTCTGCACGAGCTTTAGAATCTCTGCACACTGCAGACTGCAACTGTATTCAACACGACATCGTCTTAGGACACGAACCACGCGTCTGCGCTCGTTTGACCACTCATTTCGGGTCGTAGACAACGCACTATGGGCACAGCCAGTCCGATTGACGGCACTCCCGTCTTCATGCGTGTGACAAGCACAAAAGATTGAGTGTAGCTGGCACGTGCTGAGTTCACACAGCCAGTGCTCCTACGAGTGTGATACGATACACGCAACTTTGGCGATGGGATGCTCCGCACTCCATACATCGAACATCGTCAGTCGAGGAGAGCAGAGCTTTCCTTGGTCTTGCTTCTGGGGGGGCATTCTTCCATTCAAGACCATTCCTCATCTGTGTCGTCGCGATCTGGAATTATCATGGCATCTTTGTCCATGAAACCTCAGACAAAAATCCAACATCCACGATTGCAAGAAGCCCTTCCTATCCCCTGTGCATTTCCCTTCACTATGAAGCTCATTCAAGACACGCGCGACGGAGTTCAACATGTCAACCTGCACTGCCTCGCAAGTCTGCACAAAGACTCCCTTCGCTGACTTGGCTCCCTTGGCTCCTTGAGATGCTCGAGGCCCTGCTCGTGCAGCTGTAGCAGTTCGAAGTGGCAGCGGCCCACGTCGGGAGTGCGTCTGCGCAGGCGGTCGATGGTGTTCACCTGAAAGGGGAACCTTTCTGCTCCGATCTGCTGCCCTTTGCGAGTGCCAAGTGCTGGCAAGGGGCAGTTGTGTGTCCTGGAATTTCGAGCATGCTGGAGTCACGCAGAAAGACACTGTTATGGGCCTGGATGCAATCGAGTAGATGGGCCAAGTCTCTTCGCCACTGGTGGAGGACGTTGCGGCACACAGCAAACAGATTCCCAAGGCTACTGGCAGCCATACCCTTTTCCACATACCTAAGTGCTCGGTGATAAAAGCTTGTGCACAGAGTTGCCTTTGTTACAGTCAAGCTGCTTGATGAGAGTCTGTCTGCTCTCAGACAAAGCTGCCTTCACAATTCATCATCACAGCAGGACCAGGCGAATATCAAAGAAGAGCCTGCAACTCTGGGACTTTCTTCAATTCCTCTCTGGCTTCCTGCACTCTGCAAACTGTAAGCAGCACTGAAAGGCGACATGATCGGAACGCGGCAAACGGCTAGATTCGGATTGTCCTCGAGCTCTCGCTCCACTGCTTCACGTCGCTGCACCTTCACGTTTGTGCGGAGCTAGGCGCTGCCTCCGCCTCCCGCCCGCAAAACGGAAAAACGAAGCCTCTTGCCGCAGCTGCTCCTGGCAATTGCTGAGTCACTGCGTCTCGACCATGCATCTGCATATGCGAACACACTGCGGAAGCTTAGGGGTTGGGGCTCTTGGCGCAGCTCCTGCAGCTCGTCGATCTTGGCCATGTGTTCCTGTTCGTACTGTTGTTACTGTAGCAAGGTCGCAAGCTGCTGTGGCGTTTTATACATTTGCTGGACACAGACCTGGCCTTCGCGTGCCGCCGGCGCACGTCCCGCTCCTCACCCGCAGACCGCCGGGTCAAGAGCAAGGCTATTGATGCACAAACATGATCCAGCATTTGTGAAAGCCAAGACGCGATCCACGCCGCATACGGAGTGCCAACCCAAAGTTCTGCGGTTTCGCCAGGAACATCTGAATTGAAATCCTGAATGCTCAATTTGTTGTCTCTGCGCTGCAAATGTCTCGCTGCCAGGTGCCAGAAAGCACTGCCAGCAAAACATGCCCCAAGGCTCCACATGATACTTCAAAACATTCTGCGACTGCGATTTTTTGGTTGGATCTGCATGGTCTCGTGCAGTGTCTCCTGCCGGTGTACACTTCGACAGTCGTCTGGAGACGACCGGTCTGGACTAGGCATGTTCAGAGACTTTAGTTGAGTCCTTCGCCGATCGCATCTGGACTCACCACCGAGTTGTCCTGTGGTTTCAGCAAAGCAAGAAAAGGCATGCCAGACTAGCTGTGAAAGCTGGAATCGAAGCGCATCCGAGCAGCCCGGAGGTGTGCCTCTCGTGTGCAGCTACCCCCGCTGCCCAGTACGGCCATGCCACGGGACACCAGGCTGCGTCTCTGCATCCTGTGAACTTCGACCGTCGGCCGGTGTCTCCGATCCCTTGGCCCATCCTTCCCAAACGGCTGCGAGGAGTTTCCCCATGTTTCACTGCTCAGGGCAAGTCACGACCAGGAAGAGCCAGCCGAGGGCCGGGCAGTAGCATTGGCTCCCCAAGGAAAGCTCTCCGAAGCTCCTTGGAAAACAGAAGCGGAAGGCGCTCACTCCAAGGCATCGCTGGGCATCGCCCACCGCTCCCGTCCTGCCGCCTTTTTTTTCCCACGAGCCTACCTTTGTCTCGCGAATCGAGCCAGGAATCGCCGCACCTCTTGCGCAGCACTTGTGTCAGGCAGCTTGGGCAAGCGATGCCTCTGATCATGCCGAAGGACACATGCTTGGGAATAGAGGCGGGTAGTGCTGTCAAACCGCGAAGATGAGTACCACCCATCTGTGGCGTAGTCTCCTATGAACAGGCACGGCATATCGACTGTGCCCTGCGGGCCCAGGTACGGTGCAGGGAAGTCGCGTGGCAAGAACATGCCACCGACAGACTCAAAGTGGCCCGGGTTCACTGCACCACTGAAGCTCACCACGAAACGTGGCATGAATGCCCCAAGAAATCGAGGATCTCCCCTGTGATGTAGCAAAGCGATCGAGTGCACCTGAGGCAGTCGCCGCGAAGACTGGGCTCTTGGCGAGGTCCAGCGGTCACTCAAGCTTCAGTGTGTTATAAAACTGAGGGGGGCCGGCACGTTCCGCTTAGCTTCCGAGTGGGTTCGGACGATATAGATGCGGCCGGCTTGTACGGTAAGAAAGAGGATGATTTGTTTCAGTTCAGAGGTTTATCACCCGAACAATGAAGCGAAACCGAGACACCATTTCGGCACCCTGGGAAAATCCCACGACGCCATCATAAGCAGGGCATGCGCCTTCAAGCTCTTCTGCGATCTTTGTGAGCGACTTCTCCATCTCGGCCCAGTCTACGGGTCTGTCGCCGCTGCCACCCTCATCGTAGCTCCACCACATGTGTCTTTCAGCACGCTCTGAGGGATATGGTGCGGCAATGCATCGGCACTCAATGGCCAAGTTTGGCTCTTGCATCTGACTGGCCAGTATGCTTCGCAAGAATTCTTCAAGCTGTTCACAGAACTGGCGATGTCTGCCCCCGTGCCCATGCAGAGCTAGCAGCCTCAAATGCTTAGTTTCGGAAGCCTGTCTCGGTGAGGAGACGTTGATGACCACCATCGCAAGGAGTTTTCCCGATCTAAGGAAGTCTCTGGCGACGGCTTAAGCCCATGGGGGGAATGTCCGTGACCCCAAAGCAAAACAGCACTCGACCCCGCTGGGGGCGCGTCCATGTGGAGGTATCCAAACTCGAAGGGTCAACTGGCTGAGCCACCTGGCTTTCGACACGACTCTGCCCACTTGCCGTCACTTGCCTCCTTGCCTCCCAACTTCTCGGTTCCGCCTTGTCAGTGCCAGGGTTAACGAAGCTCGAGCTCGCCCCCATGTGGTCCTGCAAAAGCACAAGCCACTGGGCGAGTTTCACTGCAATCTGGCTGCCCACCTCTTCAGTGTGGAGAAGGCCTTGTCACTTACCCGGTCAAGGTGCCATGCCATCCACTCTGAGCCAAAGCTCCGGTCCGTCGGCATGCGTCCTTTCTCATGCTTGTGCACGCTCCCTTTTAAGGCCCTCATGCAACATTTGTTTTAGAACAGATGGATTGCACCAGTACTGGCCCACCGGCTCAGCGTGGGAGTGACATTTGCAAGTCCGGCTCAGCCACCACCTCATCCTAGTTCTGCTGCCTACTTCATGCAGAATCTTGACCGGTTATGTGATGGCTGATGTGGAGCACCTGCTTGGCTGCAGCCTTGTGCTGCGAGCAGCAGATGCCCACGGTGCCTCAGGCCGCAGCACAACAGTCCGTTGCTGTTGCACCGCCGCCTGGTCAATGCTTCCTTTGAGGCTCATGCGGAGCAGCCTTGACGACCACTGAAAAGATGGCCCCATCTATGACGCTAAATCGGCTTAAATCAAGCAATTCCGGAGGACTCCTCACATAATCTGGAGTGTTGGGGAATGAGATGCAGGCTAGCCAGGCGGGACGGATTGAGAGGAGTCCAACCATTCCACCCCACAGACATGCGAGCGCGTCACACCAACATGGAGCTGCCCAGGAGCTTTGTCGGATTCTGTGGCAGGAGCAAGAGAAAAGGCATTCAATCGAATGTAAGTCACATGTGTTTGGCATTGATTTAGCAGTGGCATATCGAGCCTGTGTGCTCAAAGGCCTTGAGGAATCAGGGGGATGACGACTAGTGATGTTCTTACCGTACGAATCCTCACATGGCCTTTCTCCAAGACGTGCGGTAGGTATCTTGGCGTCCTGCGTGATTGTCCATCCTCGCGGACATGCTTCTTCAGTATGCACAAAAGCAGACACAGACACCACGGAAATTGGCCGAGCAGCTTCTGATAGCCATCGATGTACTTCTTGCCATGCACAGCCTTCACTTCTCTCATTTGTGCACCACCAGGCAAAGCAAGCACGTGCTTGGCAAGTCAAGGCCTCTGTGGTTTCCCATGTACCGGCCCCGACGAAGTGGTCCTTCCACGTTTCGAGGAAACGGATCCGAAGTGCTCTGCTCGCAACCAGGCGCACACGCGGCTTGTTGGCATGCCGACGGCCGCCGAGCGATGGCTCGTCCTTACAGGTGCAAATCTAAGTCTCGTCAGTACAACCCAGAGGCTGGGCTCGAGGCCTCATTGGTGCCTTGGGCCAGGGCATCCAAGGCGTGGTTGCAGGATGCGGGGCTAGGAAGGACCATCGGCTTGGGCTCTCAGACCCTCGCAGCCGAAATGTGCCATGTGATCTTCACTGATGTGGTTCGATGGCCTCGTCTGCTCGGAGTCGCATGAGTCACTTAAGACTGCTCTGTGGGGATCTGGAACTTTGCTCGGAGTCTGCACTGCTCTGGAGTGCGCCTGTTCACCGGCGCGGGCCCAGCGGCTCCACCCGCCATCAAGGCTCTTTCGCGAGCCTTGGAGTTTCGATGCTCTTGGAACTCGGTCTTTGCCTGGGGCCCTCTAGGAAGGATTGCCTCGTTCTCCCTCTTCTGCTCCATGAGGTTGTCGACTGTGGGAATATACCTGTGCGGCGCTAACCCCTTCTACAGATACCAGGGAGATGTAAACATCCGGCAACTCGCAACTCCCGCGAGGCTTCCCCCAAAAGACCGTCGCTGCCTGCGTCCTTCAGGTGTGGGCCGCAGAGAAGCAATGCCCTGTGGCTCAGCAGCAGAGACACCGTGGGTCACCTGACAGCGCCGAGCCACTCTGCCCTCTGCCCTCTCAGCACTGCTGCGCTGGTCTCTCGTGCTTCCGTCGCCCTCCACTTTCCGTCTCTCCCAGAATCTCCCAGATCCCCGCCATGTTCTGCTTGGGAAAGAGATGCCTCGGGCACCCCGCGCTCAGAACAGACTGGCACCGCGCACGTGATGGATTTTGCCGACCCTGCCCCGGCCTTTTTCCCTCGCCTCCCACACGGCCCGTCTGAATGCCGAGCCTTGGATCCTGCATTGCTCGACCAGGGCATTTCACAAGATCGGCATATGTCGTTCCACTGACTACCCCCCTTACTGAGACAAGACCGTACCAACGTTGCTCACTGCGTCGCCTCCTTGAAATCGTTCTGCTGCATCTTGAGGTCCTTGTAGTTGTCCCGAGAGGCATTCACTTCCTCGGCCATGGACCTCGACATGAGACTTCATCCGAGGACATTGAAGGCAATTCCCATGATGATGATGATGATGATGATGATGATGATGGTGGTGGTGGTGGTGGTGGTGATGGTGATGTGATGGTGATGATGCTGAAGCTGGCGCTGCAGGTGCTGCAGGTGCTGCAGGTGGTGCATGTGCTGCAGGTGCTGCTGGTGCTGGTGGCGGCGCTCGTGGTGGCGCTCGTGGTGGCGCTGGTGGTGGCGCTGGTGGTGGCTCTCGTGGTGGCGCTGGTGGTAGTGGTGATGGAGAAGAGGAGGATCAGGAGGAGGAGGAGGAGGACGAGGAGGAGGATGAGGCTGATGCTGATGATGAGAATGCACTACCGTAACCGCAGGCCTGCTCGTTGGCAGGTCGCCAACTACTTTCTGTCTCTGTTCCATCTCCTGGCCAAGGCAACCATTGCAAATGTAGGACTAATTATGCTTGAAGATCACATGGTCAGGAGCACAAGACCCATATGCAGGTACACAACTTGCGGAAAGCCATGGCCTTCGTCTCTTGTGCGAAAGAGCGTGGCACGAAATGCCCCGTGCCATAGCCTTGACAAGCAGATTTTACCATGCTGATCATGAGCTCAGAAACACTCAATTTTCCAACCACAAAACCTCAGTCATGCATTGGCTGTGCCAATCGTGGCATGTGACATCATGTGACGTCTACAGCAACCAAGACAGCTGGCAGAAACGCACAGCGAATCTGCGCACTCGCCTCCGGATCGGCCCTGCTCTGGCTTCTCGTTGGTCAGTTGTTCCTGCAATTTCCAGAATAGAGGGACCCCAAAACAGAATCCAGGTTGGGATTTCCCATAGTCCGCTTCAGCGAGCCATCCAAAACATAAGAGTAAGGATATCCCAGCCAACAGTTCATGGTTGGCTTCTTGGGCCATTTGAGTAGCTCTGCAACTGCTCGAAGCTTTCAGCAACACTCCTGCATCTGTAGGATCCAGCGGGTGAGGTCGTCGCAGCGACCAGACGGTAGAGGTGGGCATGCAGCCTCGAACATGCGAGCACGGCAGAAGTGCCGATCAGGATGCCTCAGTGCTTAAAGTACTCAGCGGCTGCTTGAAGAATGCCATCGTTTTTTATCTCTTGCTTGCGTCGTGTCTGTTCCACCATCTCCTTAACATATCCCTTGGTGGAACACGCAGAGGCTGAGGAGTGAAACACAAATTGAGCTAGTCGCATGAGCCCTCGTGGGTGGCACTTTGCTCCTGGCGTCTCGCATCCGTACCGGATGAGACTCACCGTACCTTTGCTACGGCTTAGCCGCCGCACTCGAACAAACTCGTGCCAGCTGCATCCAGAATTTCATGAGTTCAGCCCATTCTGCTCGTCCAGTCTGTTGTGCCATACATATATCGGCAGAAGGGGGTGATTTTGCTGTCTGGACCACTGATCTCCAGCCTTGGAAACTCCCCCACTGACTTGGAGAACTTATTTGACAAACCAAATCGAGGTGGCCTCATCTCCGTTGGATACCTGGAGCCGTACACGGAGTTGCTGGTTGTGTAGATGCAGGCGCCCCCTGCTCGCTGAAACGTGGCGCTAGGCCCCACGATGTTGGGAGTGGAGAAACATCGGGGATGTGATAGCTGCTCCTCCTCCATGACACCCATGGAATTCAGCAAGATCTGCAGGCCGCTGCTGGCTGGCTTGGCCGGATGCGGCTATCGGACAGTGCAGAGCATGAGATGCGCTAGCTCGACATGACACCGGACATGTTGACGAAACATCAATGCCGCCTCTCCGATCACATCCCGAATAGCCTCGCTGCATGCATTGCCGCCATTTTTGGAACTGAGAGAACTGCATTTAGACTTCAGACTACGCCGCTAGGCAGCAGGCCAGCGCTCGCTTCCGCAAGGCGGACTGATTCAGCGTCTGCAGGCAAGCATGCAGTGATGCAGATAACCAGGACAAGTGCGCCGAGTCTGCTCGCCTCCAGCTGCGAGAAAGTCCAAAGCTGTAGGACCTGCGAAACCGACCGAAGGCGCTGGGAAACATGGCTTCATATCCTGCGGAATCTAGCCTTGCCGTTGATGCTGACCTGCCAAGCATTCTGTACACTTGGGAGTTGGAGGCCCTCGGACGAGAGCGGACGAGACTTCGCACCTCGCCGGTCGCAGCAGGCGCAGCATGCGTGTAGGTGGGGAAGAGCCTTAGTTTGGATCTTCCGTCAAAAAACCGAAGTCCGACTCGCTGAGCACCCGGCTTTCGAGCGTCACCGTCTTGGCGGCCCATAATCTCACCTGCAAAGCCAGGGCTGCACAGCTGCCCGCGCCAGAGCACTCCTTCTTGGAAGTGTGTAGGCACCTTCTACTTTCCGCTCTCTGCCAGCGAGGAACAACTCCGAATCGACCACCTTCGCCAGAAAAAAAAAAAAGCTCCGCGAGCACGAGCCGGAATCAGCTCGAATGCTACATCCCGCCGCCCTGCCTTGTCAGCCATTGACATCCCCAACATGGCTGGACGGTGTTTCGGTTTGCTTGCGAGCTGTGAATGTCCGACTGCAACTTCTTGAGCATCTTTAACGCTAGGGCCCAAGTCTGCTTGTTCGACTGAGCCATCCACACATCGGATGACAAGGCTGCATGGAAGCCCTATGGGGCTGCTCCACCTCCTCAGACGCATCACTGCACGCACCATTTCGGGTATTCCTGCCACGGACCTGCGAAATGAGGAGTGCACGAACCGCTGCTGAAAGACGAACTAAAATGAAATGCATCTTCATGAATGCATGAACATGATGAACCCAAGTCGAGGACATGTGATACTAGTTTCCCTGTATTATCATTCCTCCTAGGCAATCGACACGCTTCTGTTAGATTGCTATGATTGCTTATCTCAGAGCAAGGCCTCAACTCTTGTGCAGCCCGCTCCTCTAGCAGAGAGACATGAGTGCCTTTGGCACGGGATGTCTTACTTTACAGCTGGGGGCTTCCCAGCTCTCGGCAAAGCCGTCTCCGCAGCGCTGAGAGGCAGCGCTGAGAGGCGAAATCACGCCGGTCGCACCTCCCCTGAGCAAGGAAACTCTGCCGGTGTGCATCACAATGTTCCCCTGCAATCTGGGATCTGGACATGTGGACCGACCCTGTCGAACGCTGTTGATGAAGTAGAACTGGCAATGTTCTTTTTTCTGATCAGATACATGCTTTCGAGCACGATGTGTCAGAACAGTTGCAGCAACACAGCTATCTTTCACACAAGCCGGGAACACAGGCGCAAAGAGGAAGCATGCGACACCCACCACCAGGTACGCCGCACCCAGGAACGGGTTCCTGCTCTGCTTCATCGGGCTGACAGACGAGAGAAACGGAGATTGTCTGTGTGTGTGTGTTTCTCTGTGTGTGTGTGCGCATCTGTCAACGCGCGTGCGTGCTGTCTGATTCCGGGCACGCCTCCCTCCGACCACCGAACTGGTGGTGACAATGATGGCCTGAAATCGCACAGCCCAGTCTTGAAGTCTAGAATGCATGAAGATACCACGCTTCCTGCTGGCATCTGCTATGTCTCTGCCATTTCTCTGCCTTCCGGCCGTAATACTCCCGGACCGGGAATCGGTGCACGACATAGACTTTCAGCCTGCGACCACAGCGAACGACAACGACATTACACCACGAGTTCTGCTTCGATTATGCAATTCGGACAGATCTCCGGGTACCGAAAAAAGCCCGGAAGGGGAAGGACGGCCCGGCCCGAGCCTGGTGCCGGCCTTGATGTCCCGATCCACCTCATTTCACACTTCCATTTCTCAAAACGTCGTTACATGATGTCATATGCGGTTAGTGGACAGGTACCTTACGCATGCCGTAAAAGCAAACGTTTTACACATTACACGTAGAGCATCCACGTCAGCCGTGTGAAAATGGCCCTGTAATGGGTCCCGCTATCAATAGTTCAATCAGGTACAGACATACATACATACATACATATATATGCTACCCCCCCCCCTCAGGTACCCAGGTTTTCGTCTTTGTGCTGATAGCACGAAGGAAGTCGGACAGAAAAGGCTACAAGTGCACGCGATAAGCCGACATATAGTACTAGTAGTGAGCGAGTGTGACAAACTGCAGGGTATGGCGAAGCAGGCCTACTGAAACCCAGTAAGAGAAAGAGCTTTGCACGGCATAGAAGTGATACTGTAGCATCCCCAAGGCCATGCACGCATATTTCGGATCAAGGTGGATAGTGGCTATGTTTAATTGGCTGTCCTTATGCAACAATGTCATTGCTGTGGTGGGTGTTGCAGTCTCTCACATGAATTGCTGTGTTCATTGGTTCATACAGCCATATATGGAATCAGCCTAAAGCAGTGTCATATAGTGTCAGTATACTACTTGTCAAAGCCTTTAGTTTCCGCAACACTGTACAATGATTCATGCGTATCTGTCAAATTAGCAGTCAATAGCGACAACAGTATGAAATCGTGTTTCACGACGGTGTGTGTAGGCTTCGCAATTGTTACTGCAAGTATAGTCTCCATTGCCTTAGGAAACCGATCTCCGTTTCTTTTCCCAGTCATGAAACTGCTACATGTTCTGTTCTTCTATATCGAGCTCAAAATGTCAAGTGTGGTTTTAGTATTACCTCTCACAGTGTTGTTATCACATCTTGTAAATTGCCATTATTCCTGTTACAGTGCGTGGTTATCATACTTCACCAGTACCAAGCCATTTAGGACCATGTACCACCCGGCTTGCTTAATTTCTGCATCAAGTGTTACTGTGTCAATTGCTGTTCTGATTGTTCATTCAGACTGCTTCGTATATTGTTCGGGAACCTGGCTTAATAGTAGCCAAACATTATAAAGTCAATGAAGTACCTGCTGAGTCCTGTGTTTGATACATTCTGCGAAGTTCAGTATAAACCTACCAGAGCACCACGTGAATACGTACACTTGTGCTTCAAAACATTTCTTGGTAGGATGATGGTTAACCAAGTCACACATTTGCTTGCTTCTTACCTGCCGAGAGTGGGTTGTTAGTCTTCCAAATCAAACATGATCCAACCCGCCGGGGCTGCGTGTTACACGCTAGGTTGTATGTTGTAGTTAATTAGTTCGACTAGAGTTTTTTCGCGTCGGGTGACTTCGACATGTTTAATCCGAGTGCAGTTCATCAAAAGTGCGTGCATCATGCAGGTAATATCCATTTTATTGGTCGCAGAATCGTTTTCGAATGTCTGCACCTACCAAATGATGACAAGTTGACAACGATGTATGTCAGAATTCTGGTGCACATGGTAGTCTTTTGACTACGGGCTCTTTGTTTTTTTTTTAAGCACTAGTGCCACACCAAAAAAGAATACACAACCACAACGACCAAAGACCCCCATGCAAACACCAAGCAACATAAGTAGATCCTTCTACATTTATCTTAAAAAGTGGGTGATTAAGCCAGCTAAGCTTGGTCGTGCAGCAATATTTTATTTTATAATAAATTTTTGAATCTCAGACATGGAGTACAGCCTTGTATGTGATAAACAGAAAACCCATGAACTGGTGTTCCCACAGTAGTGTCTTCAAGCGGAGACTATGAATTACCTAGCTTCGTGTTGGACCAACTTGTGAGCCTAATCAAGGATGCAAATACCTTACCGGCTTGTCTGCAAAACGCCTCACACGAGTACGTAAGATCTGCTCAATCGCAACTTTCGGTAACAACGTATTGAAATATGTACTGTGGACAATGTTAGCGAAACCAGCATGTTCAACCATTCCCACGGATCTGGAGAAACTTCGGGAGCCGGAGCCGCAGTTTCGGGAATAATGGAAGTTGTTGGTAAAACCAAAACTTTCCCTGATCCCCTTTCAGAGAAATCATGGAAATTGTTGGTCGTACCAACGTTTCCGACACTTTCCATGAATTTGGAAAAACCTCGGGAGACCGCGCCTTAGTTTCGGGAATCATGGAAATTGTTGGAAATGTTGGTAAAACCAACAATTTCCATGATTCCCCTCAGCGAAATCATGGAAATTGTTGGTTTTTCCAACATTTCCAACAATTTCCACGAATTTGGAAGGGGAGCCCGCGCCATAGTTTCGGGAATCATGGAAATTGTTGGAAATGTTGGTAAAACCAACAATTCCATGATTCCCCTCAGAGAAATCATGGAAATTGTTGGTCGTACCAACATTTCCAACAATTTCCATGAATTTGGAAAAACCTCGGGAGCCCGCGCCGTAGTTTCGGGAATCATGGAATTGTTGGAAATGTTGGTAAAACCAACAATTTCCATGATTCCCCTCAGAGAAATCATGGAAATTGTTGGTTTTACCAACATTTCCAACAATTTCCATGAATTTGGAAAACCTCGGGAGCCCGATCCATAGTTTCGGGAATCATGGAAATTGTTGGAAATGTTGGTAAAACCAACAATTTCCATGATTCCCCTCAGCGAAATCATGGAAATTGTTGGTTTTACCAACATTTCCAACAATTTCTATGAATTTGGAAAAACCTCGGGAGCCCGCGCCATAGTTTCGGGAATCATGGAAATTGTTGGAAATGTTGGTAAAACCAACAATTTCCATGATTCCCTTCAGAGAAATCATGGAAATTGTTAGTTTTACCAACATTTCCAACAATTTCCATGAATTTGGAAAAACCTCTGGAGCCCGCGCCGTAGTTTCGGGAATCATGGAAATTGTTGGAAATGTTGGTAAAACCAACAATTTCCATGCTTCCCCACAGACAGATCATGGAAATTGTTGGTTTTTCCAACATTTCCAGCACGTTCCATCAATTTGGAGAAAGCTCGGGAGCAACAATACAGTAGACGCTACACTTAGAAGCCCAGGGAGCCACAGTAAACGAAAACGTGCTTTCCCAGAGACGCAATGACCAAGGAACACAAACAAATATTAGGGACAAGGTGTCTGGCTTGAACAGGACACAACCTGGGTACCGGGGGGGGGGGTACCATATATATATATATATATATATATATGGTAACCCCCCCCCCAGGACCCTAAATTCCCTAAATTCCTTAAATTCCTTAAATTCCCTAAATTCCCTAAATTCCCTAAATTCCCTAAATTCCCTAAATTCCCTAAATTCCCTAAATTCCCTAAATTCCCTAAATTCCCTAAATTCCCTACCCATGAACGGAAACCACTGAATCTGATCCATGGGGGTCAGAATTAGGGAATTTAGGGAATTTAGGGAATTTAGGGAATTTACGGAATTTAAGGAATTTAGGGAATCCAGGGAATTTAGGGAATTTAGGGAAATAGGGAATTCCCTAAATCCAACACATGGGGTAGGGAATTAGGGAATTTCGGGAATTTAGGGAATTTAGGGGAATAGGGAATTCCCTAAATCCAATGGGTAGGGAATTAGGGAATTTAGGGAATTCAGGGTTGGTCTTGGGGGGGGGCTAGCATATATATATATATATATATATGTGTGTGTGTGTGTGTGTGTGTGTGTAAAGATAGAGGTATGTATAATTACATATGTACATATATATGTGCTGATCGACACCGTTGGAACATTCACTCAACAGCTGAGCAATCGCGCACTGGGCCAGGAAAATAGCAACGACGACAGAATGCATTGAACTGACCACGTCGAGCAAATTCCAACAAATCGTTATCCGATCGATCACCTGGGAAAACCCGGTGGAATGGAACTTCCATCAAGATAGAACTCTCCAGCTAGCTGGTAGCTCGTGATGCTCTGGAGCCACATCCCGAACTTTTTATGCCCTGCTATCATCTCGGTGCCGGCTGTGGGGGATCGACGAGAGCTCGCGTAGCGAGCAGGTGGGAACGACATGATCCGCGTCCCAGGACGTAAGCTGAAAAGCTGAAACGATCAAAGATATTCTGAGCGATCGCGTTGAGGAAGAGTGGCCACGGCGATCACGATTTTCAGCAGCGGTTGAGGAGGTCTGTCATGCTCCTACATCTGCGCTTGCCCACACAGCATCAGGCCAAGCCTAGAGGCGTGAAAGGCGTCCACTTCCATCCACATGTGGTCGACCGCGTCTCTGGTGGACATGTATGACCCCCTGAATTCCTCCGCCCCAAGACACAGTTCGCCGGAAGTACTTTTGACAAGAAACCCAGCCACCTGCGGCACACTCTTGTTATCTTTCGTTCTTTGTGGGAATGATACACCTATAAGAGCGGATGCACATGTTCGAATAAACATGTTAATCAGATTATCATTAACAGCATGAAATAGCAACTATAGTAAACATGGGACGACATAGTACATATCAGCAAAACAAAGGTGCATGGTCGTGCGTGTGTTACGTAAATGTTCGTTTACTGGTCTATTTAACTTTAATGGACTTTATGCATAGGGAGGGAAAGCGAGAGGGAGAGAGCGAGAGAGACGACAGACAGACAGAGCGAGAGAGAGACAGAGACAGAGAGAGAGAGAGAGAGAGCGAGACAGAGAGACAGAGAGATTGCGCAACACTCGTTGCTCTTGATCAATGCACACATCACATGGAAGCCTTCCTTCAGACTTCTGAGGCCTCCTCCTTTCCCCAGGCCTTTCTGAACTTTGGGAGAGCCGACGTCCTCATCCACCTCACACGCAAGAGTTCAACATGGCAACAGATCGAGCTCACTACTTATCCCTGACTTGCATACCTCTTTCCCCATAGGTGCCCTGCACTAAGAAGTGTCCACTGGCAATTCCCCAGTCCTGTCCGGGCACTTACTGGCCAAATGTTGACAAGCTCCATGCAATTGCGATGGTGCACCGGTCCTGCACTTGACGCACTTCATAGTCATCCCCGGTGCAGGAGAAGGTCTCGTTGTTTCTGACAAAGTTGCAGGTAGCAGCACCTCCAGCAATCGCTCACGTACCAGTCACACAGATTGCACACCATGAACCCTCGAACCTGTCATGTACCCTTGGCAGTCGGGAACTTCCCTTGGGGACCTGAGGCGTGCCAGCCCCGAAATGCAAAGGTCCGCTACATCACGGAAGTAGAGGATCTGGCCCGTCTGCGAAATCTGTCCTTCTGCCAAAGCTTGCTTCAAGCATCGCGCGCACACTGCTGACATGATGTACAAGTGTAGCCATGTAGCTTCTGCGAAGGGGCTGTGCAGCTAGTCTTGGCTCCGGTCCTAGTTGCCACCTCAATCGGGACAAACGGTTTGTCTGGCCCCAGGTGGACCTGATACAGGAAAATCTGGAATGAACGCTATCTTCACCACCAACCAGTGTTCACCGTTGCGAACACGATCAGGGGGCAGAGGGTGAGGAAGAGGATGAGGACAGAGATGAAGCGACGATGAGCGGAACGACAAGAGCAGGAGGGGCAGGGCGATAGGATGAGGATAGTGACCATAATGACCATGATGAGGATCTCATGGTGCTAATGATGCTTATGATGATGGCAACAGTGATCACGATCGTGATTATGGCGGTGATGGTGTCTGCCGATGGCGATGATTATGATGCTGACATACTTGATTCTGCTGATGTTGCTGGATAAGGACGATGACAAAGACCAAGTCAACGGCAGGCAGTACGAACACGGCCGCAATGGTGCTCATGGTCGTGGAAGCCGGTGGTTGCAACTACTGCTGGTGGCGTGGTGCTGTGCCATTGAGGCGGCCTGCTGGCACGTATGCAGATGTTTGGGCGGTTAGGGTGAGGGTCATTGAGCAGCGCCTGCGGAAAGTTGTGAGCATGAGAAGTGCCGTTGATGACAGCACCACAACGGTTGCGAACAGTTGGACCGAGTTTACTTTGGACAACGGACTTGCTGCATCCCTGCAACCAGCACGCAAACGCCTGGGACAGGGACAGAGGATTAAGGTGAAGCTAACGAAATGAACAGGAACAAACTCACACTACGAGAAACTCGCTCAGACGAACCTTGCTTCCTGCCAGCCTGCCTCCTGCCTACTCTCAGCCCGACCGGATCCTTCCCTCCCGAGCCTGGAAGCACTCCACAGGTGGGAAGGAGCCCAACATCCACATGTTGAGGGCATGCCTTTGAGCTTTTGCGTGCGTGCTCTCTGTGAGCAGACGGCTACAGACTGCTAGAATCGACAATCAAGTTTTCGTCAGAACAGTCGCACAAGGCTGCACCAAAGTCCCCAGCTGGTTTTGCACGCCCGGTGTTCGCTGGCTTTCGGCCTGCGATGGCTACAAGTGAGGTGACTGAGGTGACTCGAGCTACGAGAGTCGACCTCTGGGTCCAGGTTGCTGAAGCGCTCTACATCGCCGGCCCAGGCAATGGATCTCGCAGAGCTGTCAACCTCCCCGGGGTTCCAGAGACGAAACGGAGATCATTGCTTCACAGCGAGAGAAAGGCGCGGCCTCTAAGCGCAGCTCAGATGCGGCGGTCTTCTCGACCAGCACAAAGCTGTCATTGAAGACCTCCAGCCACGCAAACTGCTTCACTAAAGAAGCCAGAGCCAGAGGCAACAGCCAAGGGCGCGGCTGTCCATGCAATCAGACCGCAGGGATAGTTTGTGCCTCGTACTTATAGTTTCTGATGTGTCCGCTGAGCTCGAGTCTCGGATTCTCAAACATGCAGAAAGCACGACCATCCGTCTCGGCACGCGGAATGCACACCTTTGCAGGGAAAGCAGGATGGATGTCCAAGTCAGACAATTGCAGATCCGGAACATGGCCACAAGGCTGCGTGGACACCCCTCTAGTGCGCCTCGGGAGCCACCCCCTTGCTGGCTTCGTTGGGGTCCATCAGCTGTGCATCGTCCTGCGACTAGCCCCAACACAGCGCCATGATGCCCGGAGTCCCTGAATGATCCATCATGCTTTACACATGGGTACCTTCAGATTCCTATAGCAGTCTCGAGAGAATGCTTGGATCTGGACTAGTGCTATTCACCAGCATCTGTGTCAAAGATGTAACAAAGAGCTGCCAAGCCTGTGGCAAAGTCTGTTAAACTTCAACCAGGGAATGAAGTCTTGTCCATCCAAGGGTTCTTCAGCAGGTCTCACTTCTTGCTCACACTTTCACATCCAACGCTGCCCCTGGAATGCTTTCGCACGCACCGCAGCCCATGCTTCGCACTGAAAGAAATGAAAGTTGCTTTCTAGTCACCGTCAAACCCTTCATGCGGAGCATGACAACGCGCACCCGATTTTCGACGTACATCCGATGATTCTGGTGGAAGCCGGACAGCTGATAGTAGACCTGGTATTCAGCTCCCTTTACGTCAAAGCCCCAGCGGTTTAAGCCAGTTGAGGCCCTCACCCATATGGGTGCTTTCATGTCAGCGTCCACTTCGAGCTCAAATGAAACTGGCGTCAGGGACTCAACAGTGGAATAAATTCGGCCTTCCGGCTGGCAATCTGGAAAACCATGCGTCGGCAGCTGAAGCGCCTACACCGTTAGAGTCGGCCGGGTCGTCCGTGTAGTCGTGGTACAACTCAACAACTCCCTGATCGCTTTAGTGATTTTCAACCACGCTTGACGCAGTCCGAACCCCCCCAAAGTACCTCGTTGGTGAAGTGCAGCACAACTCCTAGCCTTGCAAGCAAAACAAATCCTCTCCACTTTGTCGAACTTCAGAGTTTCACTGAGCTGACCGCACTAGGAAGCAGCAACCAGCTACGATGTAGATTGTCAGCACCACACCTGCGAAAGCAAACGGCAAAAGGAAATAGGGAAACCACGATCGGTCGAAACCACCACTTCAACATGGGATAACATGCGCGCACACCCTAAGCTCCGCTCACTTGTCTGTAGCTCATGTATGCTAGCTAGTCCAACTTACCTTGGTGTGGTCGTGTGTTCCACAATGAGGCTGGCAATGGATGGAAGGACTTCCCGATAGTTTGATTCGCAAACCATATGCAGGAGCCTGACCTCGAAAACACTCCCCACTCCTCACCAACTCCCTACAGAGAAGGCCTGACACCTGGCGGCTAGCCAGGCTCCCGGCCTGGACTCGGTACGGGCTGATAAGATCGCAGCCGTCTCTGAAGCCATCTTCTTCTTCGTTGCGAGCCACGCAGCCTGGCGTTTGCACATGGAAACAGACTGGGGGATCGGCCCTGGAGACTCGAAGTCCTCAAGCAATGAGCCAGCAACACCCGCAGCAACAACAGCCTTTCCGCTCGCCATCCTCACATCACGTCACACATGCACTCGTGGAAGCTCCACGAATGGTCATGTGCGGAGTCCTGGGCTGCCATGAGCCTGGCGACTCTGAGAAAAATCATCTCAGGGATCCGACTAAAGAGCACTGGCCTTAGGACCCACACGGCCCCGCCATTGCTTCCGGCTCGCACTGAGCCAAAATCCAAACGCGCTCTCAGCAGAATATGCGCAATGCGAACTATTGCAAAAGGTCGACTTGGGGAACTGGGACTGATGTTTCTGACAGAACAACTGCTAGAGACTGAATCGCAGCGGTAAGTTTTCCCTGCCATGGTGCCGTGTCACGTATCTCTACTCGTCTGTGGCAGCACGGATGTCCTGAGGGTCGTCTCCATGAGGTCGCCATCATCGATGCTGCTCAACATCGTCCCCGACATCTCCGACCGCCTCTATGCTCTGAGGCCGCACCGGTCCCCATGTCCAGAGCGACAATGCTGGAGCCGGCGAGCTATCATCTCCTGCCCTTGACCTTGCCCGGACGTGCCTGGCAACATGCGTGGAGCATGGCTGCTACGTGGCTAACTCAGGAAGTCAACACATTGAATGACTTGAATGTGGTTCGGGACCATTTCGCGACACTTTCACCTGCCTTGGGTGCCGAAGGCACGGTCCCGCGTGCGTTAGCCAGAGCCCTCTCCTGCCGTCGCCGTGCCTGTCGGCTTAGCATAGCAACTTCGGACCTTGTAACTTTGTAGCATCTTTGAAACTTGGTAGAAGCTGGCCGCCTTCGCAGACGAGGGCATCAGAAACACCAGCAAGAACAGCAGGATGAAGATGCCAACAACCTGAGCTCAACAGGGAATGCAAATACTTTTTTTCGCCTGCATGGCAGAAGAGGTCTTCGTTGACAGGGGGAGGTTATGCAGATGCTGTTCGCGACAGCTGACTACATCTTGCTCAGCATGAACTGCAGCTATATACATGGAGTCACAGCTTCGCTGCATGTCATACGACTTCTAATAAAGTGTCAATGTGTCAAGCGGCAATCCAAAGGCGATCTTCGAGAGCGTCTCGAAGGCAAAGGTTCCGGAAAACACCACTGGTGCCAAGCGGCATGGCTGCGATGGCCAAAGAGATCACCAGCTCGCTTGGACTGTTCTTTGACAGGATTCAGACATGGAGCTGATACAATTTTACAGTTTTACAGTAAAGGGGCACGACATCCAATATGTGGCATGACTACGGCACGTCATGATTGTATGAGCACGGAAAGAGCGGAAAGCGCGAAACACTGAGCAGTCTACTATGTGGCACTGCAGAACCACCTCCTGTCGACACCAACGCTCTGCCTTTTTGGCAGCACTCCGTGTTTCCGCCGCATTGCGACGGCTGTAGAACTACATAAAAGCAAGCAGCATGCCAATGCATGCCATGGTGCACAATCTATGTGCAACTAAATTCCTGGAGTCGGAGCAGATTGCCATTCCAGCGTCACTAACCCACTTGGCCCATCTGCAGCGAAGGCTTCAGAGTTCTTTTAGTGGCAGACGCAGAGTGTGAAAAAGATGGGTGAGACACGTGGCACATCGATCGGCGACCTGGCAAGCTGGGGCGTTGCAGTGTCTCCGAGACTTCGGATTTATAGGCAGATCATAATCTCGTCGAAGTGAAACGCACCGTGCGTTTCATATTGTCAAAGGCTGAAGTAATGGCAGACTTATACTTGTACCTCTTCACAACGAGTACGCCCGAAATGCAGTGCGAGCGGCCGTGTGCAGGACTCGATGGGCCTTGCAGCTGCTCTCGCTTGACATGTTCGCAGGGCGTCCGGCTGTGGTTCTACAATACAATCCTGCAGCAACTCTGGGGCACTGACTACAGGTCGTACTGCGCTCTGGGACCTCGGTATGGATCGCTCGGGGCTGGGTCAACTCTCCAATTTCACGATCGGGGTTCTGGCCGGTTGAGCCCCGGGGTAGCGGCAAAGGCTGTGGCACCTCAGGTATGCCACGATGCTCTGCGCAAGTCGCTTACGACACTGTCATACTTTGCAGTACATCGCAATGACCGGTGATGACCAGAGCTCGACACAGCAAAAGCCTTTATCAGCCTCCGGCCTGCGCAGCAAACGGAGTTACTTGCTTCGGCGGCAGTCGCGGGTCGCACGCAACCTTGAGCAGGCAGGGGAAGCAAAGAGTCGCGCGAACTGCAGCCACGACACCTGCACAAGATGAGCCGGCGCGCTCACCCTCTTGCTGCGGGCTGGCCTCGTACAGTGGTCAAAAGGGAAATTCGACAAAGCATCCCAACTTGAACCAGCTTCTCTGAGAGCCTGGCTGTTCAGTGGGCGATGACGACGACATCCGCTGGCCTCAATGAACTGAGCAGCCTGCAAGTGTCTGCTGAAACTCCGACCCGAAACAGCTCGAAGCCGTGTGCCAGGCATCTCATTGGTGGCTGTGTCGAGGCCTTTCTAACATTACAAGTACTATGTTTGGGCTGACAGTCACATGATGTAGCGAGAATACATGCCCGTTTTGGATTCGGACAAACAGATGATTCACTTAATAATTGCAGTAGTAGTAGTAGTAGTAGTAGTAGTAGTAGTAGTAGTAGTAGTAGTAGTAGTAATAGAAGCATCTCGGCTCGCAGAGAGGAAGGCTGCCCGAAACCGGGCCGCGAGCCTGCTCGGTCGCGAGCTGTTGTTCGCTTTTCGGTTGCTGTGGGTTCTTCGGGGCTTCGGGGCCTGGCTGCTGCGGTTCTTCCTTCAGGGAGCTCGTAGTAACATGCCATGGCACCCTCGAACATGGTGCTCTGCTCACTGCACGGCGCCAACAAGGTGCCACGCACAGCTCTTTGGTGGCGGATGCAAGATGTCCACGAAAAACAGGTTTATGATCTGGCTATGGAGTTCCTTTGTGCTGAGATTCGGATCTTTTCTGTTGGGCGCCGAACAGATTTGCAGAACATGTATGGTATCCGGTGGCAGAAAGAGGGATCTTATGTGGTCTGGCAGCAGGCATGGTGCTGGCTCGAGCCGGATCGAAGACCTGAGTTCGTACATCGGACGTATTGTATTGATGCTGTTTTTGCCGCTAGTGTGCTGGAAGGTGCCTATGCTGCTGATCTGTGCAACGTTACATATCTTGATAGGATGGACTGAGCCAAGCCTCGATTCAGCATTCCTTCGTGCACTTCGGGGTGCCTACAAGCTGGCAAGACGCGAGCCCCATCGGGGCCTCGCCTGGCAGGTGGGCCCGGCGTTTTTCCTACTTTACATTTTGCCGCTGCTAGCTGGCTGTTACGTTGCAGCTCGTGATCTTTTGACAGGCCTGCTGCTTGTAAGCTATACGGCTCAAAACAGCACTGCCCTTTGCTGTGGGCTGGCGGCTGTCCAGCACGGGGGACGTGGCACTCTCCATAGAGCATGGAACGGGGATCTGGCATCGCGGAGCCCGACAGTCGGAGAAGGGCGCGATCACGCAGTCCAAGGAGATGCAGATACCTGCTGCCTCCGCCACCTAAGGCGGGCGATCCACCGGCTGGCCCACCACCTCCTACCCCTGTCTACTTTCAGACACATGCGGCGGGGACAGAGGACGGCACGGAGGAAGCACACCACAGCTGGGAGCATGAAAGTCTCTCGGAAGGGCATGCCTCGAACTCGGACTCCGAGGGGATCGATGTGCGGGAGATGGCACGAAGGGCTCGTGAACAAAGAGCACAACAAGGAGGAAATAGACCCTCAGTGGCAAAGCACCTGCTGGAGAGGCCGGAGGCAGACACGTGGGTCGCCGACGGAGCTTCCCCAAACACCAAACCTTCTTCCTCTCGACTGGAGAAGGCAGCTGAGGGTGCAGAGCAGGGAGAAGGAGAAGAAGAACAAGAGTTTGATGACGACCCCTGCCTTGACGACTCCACTGCACATGAACATGACGAGGAGGACTCGGAGGCCTCTGTTGCAGTCTCGTGGTTCACTGACTCGTCGTCTGAATTGTCAGAAGGCCTCCCTCGAAGAGCGACTCAGACCAAGGATTAGAACTCCTTTTGGTCCTTGTTTTTCGCTAGGGCCTAACGGGGCTACGTCTGCTCTGCAGTTCGCTGCGGGACTAGCCGGTAGGTCTAGAAGAGGGATTATAGCTAGACCGACATCAGTGGCGCGGAAGTGGAAAACAACTGCTACAGAGTGGCGATCCTGGCCGGAACATGGGCAACCACTGCTTGGGCATTTCAGCTCTTACAACCACGGCTGCCAGGTCCTCTATCACTCCATGAAGAACGGCTTGGGCGGTGACCTCAGCTATGCTGGCAGGAGTTCTCTTTATCAATCAGTGCTAGCGGACACAGCTTGCTCCTTGAACAGACTCGCGGCTTCAACATGGAACAACATGCAGCCGCTCCACACAGCAAGAACGAGCCGCCTGGGTCCCAATTCCCAGGGTCATCGTCGTGCACTACCTCCCTGTTTTCTCTTTTGGTTGATCTTGCTGACAGGGATACGAAGTTGCACGGCGGTGGCAGATGCGAGGGTTAGTGGCCTGCCCACGGGGCCACTGGGAGTATCAGCCTCGGCTGGTGCAAAACACAGTGGGTTATCCGGTGGTACAATTGGTGCTTCGAACCTGCCTGCAGCAAGGAAGCGATCCTTCAAGCGGGCATTGCGGAGAGCGATGAGGACAGGGAGTACCATATACCGGGGGCGTTTATATACATCGACAGGTCTTGAAAACTTGCGAACTCGAGAAAGTCCTGAAAACATTCGAACCATTGCCACGAGACATGAGTCTAAAAGACTTCGTGTGTTGAGTGTGAATCTTGATGGGCTAACAACCGTTGTTTACGATTCTCTTGCAAATTGGATGCAGACTGCTCCTTATGATGTGCTTCTTCTACAAGAGACACACCGCGGATTTGGGGATGAGCAGGCGGAGTGGAAAGTGGGACAGTGGACTCTGATTACCTCGCCAGACCCCAAATCACGATTCGCAGGGGTCGCCATTGCCATTCGCACCACGGTCGCCGCCCACTTCACGGCCAGATGCCTACCTGTAATTCCAGGACGGCTGCTTCACGTTAGGCTGAGTGGGGATACATACAGCATTGATCTTCTCAGCTGTTATCAACATGTTATCTCCAGCAGGGAACAGCGACACATCAACGCCTCCAAACGTGAACAGTTCTGGACCAAGCTCGGGAGATACACGTCGACGTTACCACAGCGCAACTTGCTTGTAGTGGCTGGTGATTTCAACTGTGAGGCCAGAAGAACCACGGGAACTGCAGGCTGCTCTGCTCCACAGGCGAATTCATACTACTTTGATCAAGATGACTTCGTCGGGTATGCGCAGGCAAACAGCCTCTGCTTTCTCAACACGTGGGGCAGCAGCGGGGCTCAGGACATGAACACGTTCGTTAATGGCACCTGCAAAAGTCAAATAGACTATATCCTGACGAGGCGATTTCAGGCGGATTCCCTCTCTCGACGGGCTCGCCCCGTTGCAGGCCTGGACTTCTCCCCGTGGAGGTTGGGGGCAAAGCACAGACCGGTGGAGGCCTCACTTCCACTCAAGCCGGGCAGCCAGGATCAGGCCACAGCCTTTGGTTCCGTATGATAAAATTCAGCTAGAGCTTTCCTTGCACCACAACGATTCGAAGGCGGAGCAACTACGAGATCAGGTGGCACAGGCCTTGCAGGTGCAGACGGAACAGTACACGGCAGACAATCTCAACGATCTGTTGGTGAAATGTTGTGGGGAAATCTTCCCACCCAAGCCGAAGGCACAAGCACTACGACCATGGCAGCAACCGGAAGTTCGCTTCTCTTTGGGAGAAATGTGGAGGCGCAGGCGGGAGTTGCAAAGGGTCGGTCGGGATGTGAGATTGGGGCTCTTCTCGCGAAGGCAGGTGTTCTGTGCCTTTCGTGCCTATGCAGCCTTCCAGCGAAGCTACCGGGAGGTTCGGCAGCGGGGCCTTCTGCATCGCAAACAACTGTTGCACAGACGACTCGAGGAAGCCAGGCGTGCCGAGAGTGCCAAGGACACTCGTCTCCTCTACCAGGTGGTCCGGGACATTGCACCCAAAATGCAGGGAGGACGTGTTCGCATCCGCTCTGAAGCAGGAGAGGTGCTGATGGCATCGGAGGAGCACGCCGAAATCTCTGCGTACTTCCAGCAACTCTTCAGTCTACATCCACATGACATAGAACCCTCGCCCAGGCTGGACCCTCTGATCCTGAATGAGAACGAGATTCTTTCTTCACTTGGGAAATTAGGCAAGGGCAAGGCAGTACCTGTGCTCCATGCTCCTTCATCCGCTTGGCGACACTGCAGGCAGCAGCTCTGTGGACCGCTGACGGAGGCGTTTCACTGTGAGACGACAGCAGGTTATCCCGGCAGATGGGCAGATTGCAATTTGGCCCTTATCCCTAAGCCTGGTAAGACGATAAAGAGACCGGATTCCTTACGACCTCTGGGGATACAGGATGCTGCAGGTAAGGCTATAGCTAGGGTGCTCAAGGAGCGACTATTTGTCCAGATCAGGGAAACACTGGAGCAATATCCTCAGTTCGCCTACTTGTGCAATCGATCTGCCCAAGATGCCATACAGCGGGTGACCGAACATTGCAGTAAAGTTCGGGGAAAGGTGGAACAAGACCGGCACAACATTTATCATAAAAAGTCTGGCAAGGTTCGCTCCAAGTACGTTGGTGGGGCACAGATGGCTTTAGATATGACGACTGCCTTCGATCGGTTACCCCGGACGGCACTGCAAGCAGCGATGGAGTGGGCGAAGGTAGACCCGAATCTCGCTTCCATGATTTTAGAAGTGCATGGTGCTTGTCGGTACCGGATTGAGCACGAGGGCTTTGTCTCGTATGTTGACATGTCCAATGGAGTTAGGCAGGGGTGTACACTGGCTCCATTATTATGGGCTCTGTTCAGCGTTTATTTGCTGCATCGTATTGAACTTCGCTTGTCCAGCCAGTGGCCGCGAGACTCGATGACGTTGTATGCGGATGATACGCACTGTGCATGGAAGCTGGAGAATGCCCAGGACCTCGCCTTTTTCATCCAGAGTGCTGTGGTTGTGCTAGAAGTGTACCAGGAATTCGGAATGCAGGTCAACACGGAAAAATCAGCTCTCATAATAAGGCTGGCTGGCACACATGGAGCTAGATGGCTAAAGAAGCACACTGAGATGATCAATGGCAGGCCTCATTTTCTCCTGGCGCATGGGCTTCAATCCTTTCGGGTTCCCTTGGTGCAAAAGGTGAAGTATCTGGGAGTTATCATCTCGTACACGAACTTCG